CATACAGCTGTAAAGTAACACCATATTAGCAGAAAGAATATGCAACGGTGAATAAATTCATTGATCTCTTTGTTAAGAGCAATAAAGAAAAAACCACAAAATATGCAGATATTTGCATGTTTTCCAATCCATCAGATAAATACGTATTAATAACATAATCTGATAATATACTCCTACCAAGTCCTCTTACTATTATCAGTTCACATACACAGCAAGCTGAGACTAGATTTTTACATCAGGACTGTTTCTTGAACATAGGAAGCTGTGGGTCGGACTACAGAAACTACTGAACTACTGTACAGAAGGTCTGGGAAGTGGAACATGTAACGAGAGCTTAAAATTGTAGCTAGAGGTTTTAATTTCCAAAACGTCACTTTAAATTGTCCTCCACTATGGAGAGAAAACAATTTAAGAAGGTATGAAATTCACTTGCACCAACTTGCAGATCTTGACATTGCCAAAAAGCTGATGTTACTGCTAGCAAGAACTGGATTCTCATGTTTCATTAGTATCTATTTCAGCACATGTATTACTTAATATTTAGTACTGACTACAGTGGAAAGGAAGATCAAGACACCCATTCACTGAAAGAATTGTTTCAGGTTACTTTGCATCTAAGAATTCTTTAGAGAGACCACCTGAAGATACCTCTGGGGCATCCAAAATTATTTTTTCCAAAAAAACAGGACCCATTCTGCAAGACAAAATGTATTACCATTTTTCTAAATGAAATTTAGATTAGAAATTCTCATTAAAAAACCTCATGTACAAGTAGTAGATAAAATCCTATAGCTAGTCATAATCATATTTTATTCACATTAATTATTTCTAAAAGTTTTTTAACTTTGGGCTCCACTTTAATTATCAGTCCCCATTTTGGTGTATGACAGAACCCCAGTATAAAATACAATTGACTGATATAGCTTAGGTTATTCCAACACAGTTTGACTATTGCAATATAAAAACACCCCTGCATTCACCACGAAAGGCAGAATTACAAATATTCTGAGCTCCTGCACTATTTATGTTTAGCTTGAGTATATTATGACTAACAACTGTAATGTCTTATGATTCACTATACATTCTACATGATGATCCACGCCAATATTAATTATGATAGGTAATAAGCAAAGCCCACATACATCTCCCTTCACTTTAAACCATACTGACAATCCCCTTCAGTGCTTACATCCATAAGCCTTTGTTCCCCTGCATATCTCCCTTAACAGCCCAATAATCTTTCCTCATACTCTATAGAGAGTTCCAAAACTCCCAGACACCATCTGGCCACACTGAGTTGTATGTCTACTTAAAGTCCAATTGACATGCAAACTAAATGCAAACTACAAACAGAATTTAACAGCACATCACCAGTTTTAAGACACAATCCGTCAAACATTTCAGAGGACTATGAAGAAAATATATCCTACTCTTGCAAATCACTGGACATAATGTCTGACATTCAATAAACCCTTTAATAGAATATAGACATTTGCTTACCACAACAAAACCTACTAGAAAATACCTTTAAACTTTTCTTTAACGGTGAAGAACACAATATCTCTGTATGTAAAATATATACAGGTAATGAATTATGCAAAAATATAATATGAAAGGATAACCTACAGTGAATTTGAGTCCTGTGATCTGATGATTCTTAACTACTGACACTTAACCCAAAACTCTCAGGTCCATACTTTGCCATGAACAAAGCAGACACATATTGTAGGTGTCATTTCAATAGCTTTGATTTGTTCAAGTCTGAGGCCCTACATAAGTACCAAAGAACTATCTGTTCCTAAAATTGTGTAAGGGCTCAGAAATGTCACTCATCTGTCGAAACCAACACCAAAAATCAACCCTCAAAACTTTGAGGATGCAGAGCTTAAACAAATAACAAGAATTAAAAAATGGTGCGATTTTCATTCTTTGTCCATCGTCACCTGTTAGAATTAACTTTACTTCAGTAATCATAAATATATTAATCCTGAACAACTTTCTTGAAATAACTTTTCCTTCCTTCCCCTCCCTCTTTCACTGCAAAGGAGGAGGGGTGTCCTGGTTTGAGCTAAACAGAACTAATTTTCTATTTAGTGATTTTACTTTTCAGCTCAGTCTCTTTTAAGTGGCTGAATTTGCTGAAAACTAGCAGCATGTTTTTCCCAGACAGTGTGTACTGATAATGTTCAAGGCCAAGCTGTCCCACCATGGGTGCTGTGTCTGTGCCTACAGAGGGGGGAAGCGGACCCAAAACCGACCATTGAGGTATTCCATCCCACATACATCATACTGGGTATAAAAACTGAGGGATCACGAGGGTCTCGACCCTTCTTCCATCTTGGAGCCCTTCCATCTCGTCTGCCTCTGACCCTGATCTGTGTGTCCTGCATCAGCTCCCACTGCTGCTGAGTTTGGTCTGGGATTTTTCCAGTGCCCTGCTCTGCAGAGCCTCTGGTGAGGTATTCATCATTGGGGAGAGGATGGGGGAGGATTTTATATTGGTTTTGTATATATATTTGCACATATCTGTATATATTTTGTTGTTTTCCTGTTTACATTATTATCCTGTAGTATTAGTATTAATGTTTTATTAAACCTGTTAGTTTTGTTTTCCAACTTGTAAAGTCTCTCTCCCTTATTCTCTTTCTCTTCCCTTCAGTGGAGGGGAGAGGAGTTAATAGAGAGCGTCTGTCCAGGATTTAGTGGCCAGCCCTAAACCATGACAAGGGGAGCTGCTGGCTTCCCACTTGACCCTTCCTAAGGGAAGGAAAAGAGGTGGGTTTAAAGGGAGCTTTAAGTTCCAAATCCAAACTTTTATCTGTGTCATTTTATTCCAGTTGCTTTGGACAGCCTGGTTCAATGGACGATCTTGCCCACACCTGGCAGGTGCAAGTCAAAACAAGGCTGAGGAATTGATTCTGCTTGCTTTTAACTAGACATTTTGCATTTACTCCTGGCTCTCATATTTTTATTTGGTGGCCAGTGTTTTCACCTGGAAGAGAATTTTCTCATATGGCTAAAATTTTAAACAACTTAATGGTTACATTCCCTTTAGTCCAGGCCATGAAAATGTCAATTAAGGACTGACAGCCCCTAACCCAGCAGTGTTGACTGTTCGAAGAGGGCGGCTATATCCCAGTGTGTGGCTTGGACACATGCACAAGTGCAGACAGTGAGAGGACTGACTCTCCTGTCACTCATGTGTCTCCCATCTATTTCCCCCACTTCCAGGAGCTTGGGAACGATGGCAAGCCCAGCCTCTGTGCAGGGCTCCATGTGCTTTTTATTTCCCATAGGAGAACAGTACATACTGTTGGTGAGCAGGTGATTCTGCTGGAGAGGACTGAGTGGGTGCGCACTTCCAAGGCTCGACTGCCCTGACAGTGTGGGATGACCAATGCTGTGCTGTGATCCTGTTGTAATGGGAGACTGAAGCTTGTCTTTATCCCAGGAGGATTCACTCCCACCTGAAAAACAGCATACAAACAAGCCATAAATGGCATATACTTTCTTTAAAAGAACCATTTTGCTTGGTTAGCAACATGCTAATACTCTTTACCATAACTTAGCACCTAGCATAAACACAGCACCTGAAACCTATACCTGATTATTTTTTTAATAAATTAATAGATATGCATCAGGCAAAAAATATGATTAGAAACTTTCAGCATCACCTACCTTCATAACACTAGTTTCTGGAAACTGGAAGAGCTAAATGTTTAAGGACAAAATCATCCAAGTAAACAGCAGTCACAATTAAGTAAATATGGCAGGAAGGAAACATCTGAGACACGGAATCACAACCTCCTGCTACCACAGGGAATCAGGCCACCCAGTCCCTGCTGGAGACTCATCGGTGCCCAGCCACGGGCTTGGCAAGTCTCTTGCCACTGGAGAGTTGTTCCGCTATTCACTCCTCCAATGCTCACTAGCATTCTAGCTCGAATTCATCTCCAAACAGTTTACCACAATTTATCCTGCTGATATGTTATGTTTGAGCTTAAATAGCTTCTCCTCCTCTGCTGGATTTGCTACGTTAAACAAGCCAGACAATAGCTTGGGCTTGGAAATCATCAGTATTCAAGAATTTAAATTCAAGGAGTCCAGGTATCTATTATGCACAGTAGTTATTGTCTACAACAAGACACAGTATAGCAAACTAAGCACACGTTTTTGGTCAAGAATATCTGTTCGGTCTTCAGAAGAGAGGGTGTTCTGCAGCAACTTTACAGATCTTTAGTATTGCACTTTTACACTCGAGTAACAAGAAGTTCCTTTTAAGCAGCAGTTGAGTAGACCACGTGAGTGAATTCTGAAATACATCTGGCTCACAAAGCAAACCACCTTAAAAAAGATAGAACGTCTCTAGAGTAAAGAGATACTTTAAGTACACTCCCTTCTCAGGTACACCCCGCATTTTCAATTAGATTATAGATTGTTGTGAAAATGTGTAACTGCCATATTGACTTTGTTTTGAATTTATGAACAAGAATTCCAATTAGAATAAGTAAAGAGATTACTGCGATGTAGCAGACAGAGCAAAACACATTTTAATTGAATATGAAAGTAACAGAAAAATGCCATTCTTTATGACAACACTCAGCTAATAAATATGATTAATACTGCTAAATGAAAAAGTTTCAAAGATCAATGATTGAGAAAAAACGAAATCACTCCATCATTTTAGCACTATGTCCAAGTATGAATTACCTTCCTATAAAAGATTTGTAGTTTGTAAGATGATGGGTAATACATTGACAAAGACACACTAAATTACGCCATGTGATCTAATGTAACATGGCGTAGTGCAGTAATTAGAAGAACTACTACAGTTAAGGCTTTGTCAGCATCTTTGTTACTGAATATACTGCGTATCAGCTCTTTCAAATAACATCTGACTGATACCTAGTATAGAAGTTGTGCATTCAGACTACTGGGAAACAGAGGTGGTATTACTTGGTAAAGTATTTCTCAAGTTAAATGTGTAATTTAAAATAGATTTCCTGAGGAAATGCTTAGCATTTGATTTTTACCAAATTAGTTTCATTTTTCTTCATACACTTTTTCACTTAAGTTTAACATTTACACTTCATTCTTCCTCAAAAACACGTATGACATGCACCTTAGCATGAATTTTTTGCTTAGATATAGATTTTGTACATGTAACTCCATGTAACAGGACAGCAGCCATGCAAACTGTGCACAAGACAGTTTGTCACAGATTTTTGAACGAGAAGAAAAAACTGCATTCTTCATCTAAGAGTCTTCCTCACCCATTCGTTTTTCTTCAATACATTTCCAACTCCAGGCACAGATGGTCTAAACTATTAGCTCATTTACTTATTTCTGGAAGTTTCTTTTGTCTTTCCAAAGCCTCGTGCATCTACCCACCATATTTCTGTGGTCCTGAACCTTTAGTATCAGGTGTCCTATAAGCCTTCTGTGCCCAGCTTTACAACGGTTGCACGTTTCATACAGAAGCACTATTATTTCTACTTTACAGATGGAGAATTGCACTGTGAAAAGAAGTTACTTGCTTAAGGAAATACAGAAAACCTGCAATGGAACAGGAAACTGAATTTGAATTACACTATACAGTCCAAATCACTGGACTAGTTTTCCTTACAGATGGGGACAATCACAACTCTTTTTCCCTGCAAATTCCACTTGTAAATCTGTTCCAGTATTCAGAGCCAGCTACACAAGAATAAATTGCAACACACCTATCTCTGCAGACCATTCCTGTATTCTTATGTTCCCTATCACTTCTCCTTAGAGAAAGGAAAAAGAAAAATACTGGTGAATGTATGGTGTATAATAAAAGTGCTAAATGAAATGTATCCTGTAGTCTGCAGCACACCACGTAGATAACAGCTTTGTCATCTGCCTTAGAGAAAGGAAAAAGAAAAATACTGGTGAATGTATGGTGTATAATAAAAGTGCTAAATGAAATGTATCCTGTAGTCTGCAGCACACCACGTAGATAACAGCTTCATCATCTAATCTGGACTTCATATACCATGTAGTAGCAAGTTTCTTAGAAAGAAAACAGTAATTAGAACATCTTCTTACCCAGAACTATTCAATTGTGAAGTGTTTTATAAGGGCAGTATGATTATCTCCAACTTAGAAGGGGGAAAGTTGAATTACGAAGCAACTTCCTCCACGTTACCTGGTAGACTAACAGGGAAACTGGAAGAGAAGTCAGGTCTCCCAGGTCTCACTCCTGTGCTCTATACCACAAACACTTTCAATTCCTCCTACCCACAGTCCCTTTGCACAGCTAAAAACCAATCGTTTTAGAACAAAACCTGCATCCCTTCCTGCAGTATCTATTCCCATACGGTAAGAAAAAATTACATATAAATTAATAACAAGCTGGAATTAGATCAACAGTATAAACCAAATACGTAAAATGCAAACCTGCGGTCATATTTAGTCCTTTTACTGTCAAGCAACTTTAAAAAAAAAAGTATTTCTTTTTCTTAATACTTCAAATCTAGGTTTAGCCACAATTTTACAGGAGACTTCAGTTCATTGTCATTTCTTGTCCAAATTGGTGTCACCAATAAGGCAAAGGCGTCATGTTTTGATTCTAAATCCTGTCTTTGGCATGATGAGCTTACCGGTCAAACTAAAAATGAAACTTTATGATACGAACTACACAATACACCACAGAGAAATGAGTTTATGGCAGTCACTTTTTTCCTCTCTTTATAGTCAACAGGTTTGCTCTTTGAACAAATTTCTATTAGGAAAAAATAATGTCTTTGTCCACACTAAGCTAGTGAGGACTCACTCTTTTTAATGTTGCAGATGAGACTGTAATAATCAATGATCCATATTATGGTACACAGAGAGATGGACTTCAAGTAATTTCTTTTAGGAATATATTAAAAAAAGGGGAAAAAGTAGCTAAAAGAAGCAAGCAAACAAACAACACTAAGGAAAATGAGACAACAGAACACAGCAATGGGACTTACCTCTTGTATATGAAGGCCAATATAGCTTTTTCATTAATTTAAAATGAGAATGAATATTTCATTTTAAAGTACCAGTAACTTCATTCATAAGTGTCATAGGAATATTATAAGAGCACTCAGAAGTCTGTTGATTTGTCAAAATGCCAATACATCATTAATACACTTCGCAAAAAGCTTTAACACTATTACCCACTACCCATATGACCTTCTCTCCAGCAGATAAAACTAAAGGACAGAAAGGTAATTTTTCCTTATCTTGTTTGCATTCTAGTCGATCTTGTCCCAGAACCCATCGTACTCAGCATTAAAAAAGGGCAGGAGGGACAAGAACCTCCATCTTCCAGAGCTCCTGACGCTGTCAGAAGCAAGCACAGAGACTGCAGTTTCCTTACCACAGCCACACCGCAGTGGGAAGAAAAAGGCAGAAATAGTAGCTGGCCAGCCATCCTCAAAGACTGCAGAATGCACTGGCTGCTCAAAACGCAAGCTAAAAAAGGGTCTGGCCAGCTTCAACCACCCAGCACACGTGTGGTGTACAGTTCTGCTTTCAAATTTGCAGCTAAATGCATAATATGGATGAAAATAAGGCCTGATCGTCACCTACACAGGAACGCAGCTGAGTTCAGATGCACAGAGAGTTAAACCACAGGAAACACAAAGAAACAGGGGAAATCAGCCTAAGCACCACATGTACACACTGTAGATGATAGGCACTGCGCTCGCAGATCCACTGCAAGGCTATTTACAAACAGGTACATGTCCGTAAGCAAAGTGCCTCTGTTTAGGTTTCGTTTTGTTTAGTTGAAGGAAATGCAAGCGATAAGCTCAGCTTCATTTTTCTGAAAATGCTGCTTCTCACCCATCTTTGATGTTAGTAATTCTATAACTCTTAAAGCTACATGTTTTCTAGTAATAAACCTCTTTCTGCATTTGCGTTCTTCAAAACAAAATCCAAAAACCTTTTTTCGGTGAAGATATATTCATAAAGATTAAATTAGTGTCTTGGTTTCAGGTATTGAAAGATCTTCGGGAAGTAATCAAAGTTCAATTTGGTGACAGTTTCTTTTCATTCGGTTTCAAATTCGTTTTAGCAGTCCTTAAAACTGTCTGGTCTAGCTAAATGAAACCCACTCTGTCAGAGGTACCTTTGAATTGAACAACCACACTGTTCAATCTGTGTCTGCCCTTTTAATTTTTGTTGTGATACACTTCTGAAAAATGGAACTCAAACCGTTAAAAGCAACGCCACCCTCACTGTCCAAATTTATCCGAAAATTATTTTCAAACCTATTTTTCATGCTGTTGAGCATATTAAGCAAAGCATCAACTGGAAAAAAAGTACTCAGTGCACTGCTATTACAGCACTGATAATTTCTAAGTATTTATCCCCTCTAACATATTTCACGGGCGTTCAGCACACACAAGTCCCCTGACATTTTTTGGCTTATCTAGAATCCTAGTACTCCTAAAACAAGGTGTGCCTG